CATATTGCATTGAAACAGATGAGGGAGAGAACTGTTTAAAAGGGATATATGATTGGGTATTATCATGACAGGAGTCCAGAATGAAGGCTGTACAGTGGAGTACACTTGGGGGGAGGGATTGCATAACAATGAAAGAGTTTTTCTTTCACTTTTCAAGGAGAACAGTGAATTGGGGAGGGGTGAGCAGGGAGAAAAGTGCAACAATGAATGACTGGAAACCCTAAGTCTCTATAAACTTTCATTAAAATTAATTTTCAAAAAATATTACAGCCTTGGACACCTTATAAGGCAGGTCTACATGTCCTCTTGGTTCACTATGAGCGAGAACAATTCAACAGCAACAGAGTTAATTTTATAGGTCTCATGCTAGCCCCAATCCTAATGACTTGGTTCCCTTACATAGAAGACTTGCTGTGGTTAGATGTTGTGCGGTTAACTACAATTCACAGCGACTGTGCACAATGGATGTGAATCTTTTCTTACCCCACAACATCCTCACCTTTTCTGCCGTGAACAAGCTCATTGTTTCCATCACTGTCAACCCATCTCATTGATGACTTTTCTCTCTTTGGCTGACCCTCTACTCTTCTCAGCAGGATGTCTTCTCCAAGGGCTAGCCCCTCCCGAAAAGATGTACCAATGAGGGAGTTTTTCCTTTGCTTTTCAAGGAGAGGAGCAAATGGGGGCGGGGGGGGAGGGGTTTGTGCAGGGAGAAGGGTGCAACAATGAATGAATGGAATCCCAAAATCTCTGTAGATGTTCACTGAAATGAAAAATAACCTAAATTTAAAAAAAAAGATGCCCTAAGTATGTGAGGCAAAGGTTCACGAGCTTTGCCTTTAAGAAGCACCCAGGTTGCATGTCCTCCGATACAGACTATCCCCCCAAAGTCAGTAACCTCATGCATGTCCACTTCACCACTCACAGCCTACTCATTTATAGCTTCAACCTCTGCCATTTGTAAATGAGAACCACATGGGGATATGTTTTAATAAGGGATTGTAAGGATATCAAAAATTTACATAGATTTTTGCTTTGTTTTTTAGCTATTGAAACATTGACCCTCAAGAGAGATTGCAACATTCCAGGAGAGATATTTACATTGAAGGTCAAAGAGGATTTCATGGACATTCACTGCTCCACCATCACTGGAGGAGGAACAGGGGGTAATAGAGTCTCTCTATACTTAGGGTAGGGGTTCGAATCCACCAGATGCTGTGTGACGAATATATGTAGCCATTTGCTTTGGTAAAGATTTACAGCCTTGAAAACTCAAAACAGTTCTATCTGGTCCTACGAGTCAGAATCAACTTGATGGTAGTCTGTTAGTGTTTTGGTTTATTTTTGTTTTAGTGCTGCTATGTCAGATCTACAAATAGGTAACTTTAACAAACTGAAATTTAGTCTCTTAGGTTGAAACCAGGCTTCACCTGACATACTTTGGGCATGTTATAAGGAGGGACTGGTCCTCGGAGAGGGACATCATGCTTGGGAGGGTGAAGGGATAGAGAGAGGAAGACCATCATCAATGACATGGATTGACTCATTGACTAGGGTAATGAGGGTAGGTGTGTCAGAGACAGTCAAGTTGACACAGGATAGAGCATGTTTCAAGGCTATTGTACATAGGGTCACTATGAGTCACAAGAAACTTGATAGCACATAACAACAACATACTTCGTTGTTATTATTATTATCCATAACATAGTGGGTAGATTTACTTAGATATTGTGTGTGACTCTAAATCCTTAAATGTGAATACGCTTTTCATATTATAGAACTCTAGCGACACTGTCGCTAAGTCATTCGGTTGTTAACCACGAGGTCGCTGGTTCAAACCCATTTAGCCACTCTGCAGAGAAATGGAGTTCATCTACTCCAATAAAGATTAAAACATTACAAACCACATGGGAGAGTTAGTCTCTGGCCTTTGAGGTGGCTAGAATCAGCTCAGTGGGAGAGTCTATAGGGAGTTCCATAGCTAAGCCAAAGGCTGCACCTCTCTGGCTGTTCAAATCCACCAGTGGCTCTGGGGGGGAATGTAAAAGGAGAAAGGGCAACATAGTGATGGCCAAGTCCAACCTCTACAATCTTCACAAAGGGAAACTGTCCCCATCAACAACATCCACAGTATAAAACTGATCCTTTTAAGGTCAGGTGCTGCTGCACCAACTTCTACTAAACATTGAGTCTGGTATTCATTGAAAATAGAGCACAAAGACTTTACAAAATCTCTTCTACTCACAGTTGTGGGTAGCTTAGGGAATCAGGTTGGTAGAGTAGAGAAGGCAAAGAATATTGCACAGTGAAAGTCCAGGTTCAATCCAGGAACACAAGTGTAAGAAGCTTCTGGTTTCCTCAATTGTCCAGCAAGCTTCATCTCAGAGAAATCACATGTCAGCTCTTCCCGCACTCATCCAACAAGCAAAACCTCTGGCCCCATAAGTCGCCACATTACGTAGTCTCCCCACAGTCTGGCTAGCTCACTCTCTCGCTTATGTTGACCTCAGAATCTTGTTGATGAAGTGGATGAGTTCGAATGGTGAACCATGTGTCTGCAGTTAAGGCAGCTGGGGATCATGCCCGCAGGGGAAGCGAAGAATGGTGGGTGGAGCCTCAAGGATTCATTTTACTTACACATTCTCACATGTGGTCCCATCTAAGGCAACGGGTGACCCTGAGGGATGTTATGCTGAGTGAAATATCTCAGTTACAAAAGGACAAATACTGCATGGTGCCGCTGTTGTAAAACAGGACTGACATCGGGGTTTGGGGGGGAGGGGAGACTGAGAAAGATGGGACAAATAATGTGTTGAAACAGATGAGGGAGAAAAGTGCTTAATAGGAATAAGTGATTAGTTATTTTTGTCATAACAGGAGTCCAGAGCGAAGGCTGCATAGTGGAGTGGACCTGGGGGGCCGGGGAGGATTGTAAAGTAATGGGGGAAGTTTTACTTTTCAGAGAAGAGGTGGGGCAGGGATGAATGGAAATCCAAAGTCTCTGCAAATTTTCATTGAAATTAATAATAAAAAGAAAAAGGGGGGGGAAGTAAAACACCCTCCCACAAAGAAGGATGAGCAATCTCCTCTTACGTGATTGACAGCCTCAGAAACCCAAAGAGTCAATACGTTGATGTTTGACAGCTGTGGATTTCGTTACCTATTGTGCTCTCCCCAGACGGACCTCTCTTCTTCCCTTGCAGGGGCTGTTGCTTTGATCTCCTATGACCTTCTGGGGTCCATCATAAACGGCTCGCTCGTGTCCACGGAGAATCTAGTTGCTGATGAAGCACTAGGTCACTTTTGGCTCAACTCCAAAGTAACCAGCGGTACAACAACAGGCTCCAAGCAGAACGCGTCCCTGGCCACACCTGTAAAATTCACCTTTCAGCACACGGAGGTGAGTGGAAATCATTCTGTTTGAGAGCTTTGGAATTTCTGCAATCACAGCCGTAAACGCAAAAGCAGGAAAGGACTTTCTAACAAGTTATTAGTTCTGCCTGGGGTGTTTCACCTGGGATCACAAGTGGTGGTGGTGGTGGTGGTGGTGGTATGTGCTGTCGAGTCGCTTGCTACTCATAGCAACCCTATGTACAACAGCCCTAACCTCTGTTCTGTCCTGTGCCAATCGCACTGCCTTTGAAACACCCATCCCAATTATCCCAGTCACTGAATCAATCCACCTCAAAGAGGGTCTTTCCCTCCTGCGCCGTCCCTCCACTCTCCCAAGCATGATGTCCCTCTCCAAGGACCGGTCTCTCCTCACAACATATCCAAAGTATGTCAGACAAAGCCCCAGAATCCTTGCCTCCAAAGAGCAGGCCAGTTTAACCCTCTCCAGGATGAATCTGTTTGTTTTCTTAGCAAAACAACATGGTACATACACTCAATACTCTTCTCCAGCACCACAGCTCAAAGGCATCAATTCTCCTTCTGTCCTCCCTAGTCGTTGTCCAACTCTCTGATGCATAACAAGTGATTGCAAAGACCATGGCCTATATCCAGATGCACCTTAGTCTCCAGAGTGACACCATTGCTCTTCAGTACTTTCGAGCGGTCCTGATCAAACCAACTATTTCAGATAATGTTGATGACCATTTTCCCCTCAAGGCAGCTCTGCCTCATGTTGTGGTGAGGTACCTTCAAGTAGATTCTGGCGTTTTCATAGACCATCACAGAGTCTGCCTATTATAATAACAAAGAGTTTTATCAAGGAGAAGGGCAGCCAGGACCAGCGAGATGTGCTGATGCACTATAATCTTTAGCCATTTTTCTATTGATGGGCACTTGGGTTGTTTCGAACTGTTTGTTATCATATAAAAAGTGCCGTAATCACAATTCACACATGGGTGTGTGAATGTCAATTTGTGTTGTAGGTCTTGTTTCTTACCCCCTAGTGGTGGGATTAGTGCATCAAATGGTATTTGTATTCCCAGTTTTCCAAGGAAGTGCCGAACTGCTTTCCATCGTGGCTGCACCATTTTGCATTCCCACCAGCAGTAGATGTGAGTTCCAATCTCTCTTTATCCTCACCAGCATTTGTTTTCGTTCCCACTAAACAATGCTGTATTTACTGGGATGAGATATTATCTTAAGGCTGCTTTAATTTGTATATCTCTAACAGCTAGTGCTCTTGAACAATTCTTCATGTGTTTGTTGGCCATGTGAAGGTCTGCGATGTTTTCTCTCCCGAAACTGTAACTGAAGTAGCTCCCTGAGTCTTTCTTCCTTGATTCCTAGGTGAGGGGCTTGAATTGCCATCCTTCAGGTTAGCAACCAAACAAAAACTACTTGTACCATCAAGGGACCTTCCAAGTCAAAGGAGAAAAACTACATTTTAAAACAAAAATACACCATTTGCTTAGTCCCTGTGAATGACTGATGTCCTTGAGACAGGTGACGAGAGAACTGACTCATAAGTGAGTGAATTAGCCATGAGATCCTCTTTCAGGAGCCCCGTATTGCCCATTGTATTTCCTTCACGGGTTTTCTAACTTCCTCTCCGATAAAGCAAAGACGAGAATAATTCATAAGCCAGAAACTCATTTCAGGATTAAATGAGTTTCTATGTGTATGAATACATTGGTGGTTCTTTACCAAGATTATTCTACTCTCGGCAGGAGACCACTCCTAGGCAATAGTCGTCATGTTTGCATCCCCCATTTGTCTGGCCATGGCACCTTGAATGTTGCTAGGATGTGGAGCAGCATTGTTTTAGTGGAGCTTCCCAACCACTGAGAGACTAGAAATAAAGGCATGGTGATCTTCTTTTAAAACTGAGCTGATGGGATAAATTATGTATACTACATTGAAACAGATGAGAGAGCTGTTTAAAAGGTATATATGATTAGGTATTATTGTCATGACAGGAGTCCAGAACAAAGGCTGCATAGTGGAGTGGACTTGGGGGAAGGGATTGTTTAACAATGAAATTATTATTATTATTTTTTACTTGTCAAAGAGAAAGGCAAACTGGGGGGGAAAGGGTGGGCAGAGAGGAAAGTGCTACAATGAATGAATTGAAATCCAAAATCTCTATATTTTTATTAAAATTAATAATAAGAAAACATTAAAAAATGAGCTGATAAAACCCATACAGATCACAACAGCCCAATTTTCGCATCCACAGAAAGCTAAGAGTGAAATAACTCACGTATCCTAGTAAAGCTTTGAAACTATTATCACATGATGTTAAAGGACCTTGACTGAAAAGCTTCTACCACTTTAAAATGGCAGTGGGTCACTCATATGTAATTATTTTTCTAGATGATATTGTCGTAAGTTACCAACTCTATGACTTGTAACAACCTTACGTACAACAGAAGGACATGCTGCCCTGACCAGATACCATCTTGCTGGCCATTCTCATGCTCCAGTCTATGTCTATGTCAATAACGCTCATAGACGGTGTTGTTATTTTCACTGGCCCTTTTCTTCTCCAATACAATGCCTTTTCTGACTACTGGTCTTCCACCCCCCGCCTTGGTTCACAAGTTTAATAGAAACTATCAAGGATTAATTCTCTCATGCCCCACTACAATTGGTACACAATACACATCAGTTGGCCTATCCAACAGCATAGCTCAAGCCATAAGAACGTCGTCCTTCCCAACCTCTGCTAGAAAGACCTATCAAATACCACGTCTTGGCCAACTCTAGGACCTTCTGTTTTAAATCTGAAGAATGTACAAAAGATGTTTGCTGCTCACTGCAGCCTGGCACTACTCTCACCTCTGCTTGGAGAAATACTCTTTACTCTCCTGGTTGTCAGGTTTGATGATACCTCTTCCAGGCTTTCAGCCAGCTGGACACACTTCCCTGTGTTTGTCCATGAACTGGAAGGCCTGAACAAGTCTTAGAGTCTCATTTACAGAACAACTAACAGGGAGATCATTTGCAGTGATCTATCGAAGGATCCCTTTATCCTCAATGATGAAAAGGCCCCTGAATGAGATGCCTTCATCTGCCTTTAAGACTCCATAGTGCTGGACAATGGTGCACTTGGGGTCTGATATTAAAGGAATGTGCATGGGTCCTAGCCCTTCTTGTTTCTTGGGTGTGTTGATCCAAGCCAAGTGACAGAAGTTAGAATCCACGGAAGTACCCATCACTTGGCAATTGAGCTTCTTAAATTCTTCTACCTTGTCACTGAAAGCAATTATTTCCATAGAGCATACAAAGGTGAAGCCAAAAGGGTAAAAAAAGAACACAATATATTTCCCAAAACCAAAGAGTCTTACCACTGGGCTGATTAACAGAATCATGATAGATGATGAAAAGATTGAGATTGTTGGCAGCTTCAGTTTGCCTGGCTCTACAATCAACACTCTTGGTACCAGTAGCCAGGAAATTAAAAGATGAATTGCATTGGGGAAAGTCAGCTGTCAGAGACCTCTCCAGAGAACTGAAGAGCAATGATGTCAGTCTGGAGACTCAAGTGCACCTGATTCAAGACATGGTCTTTGCAATTACTTGTTATGCTCCAGAAAACTGGACAATGACTAGGGAGGATATAAGAAGAGTTGATGCCTTTGAGCTGTAGTGCTGGAGAAGCGTACTGAATATACTATGGCCTGCTAGGGGTACAAGCAAGTTCATCCTGGAGAGGGTAAAGCCACGCTGCTCCTTGGAAGCAAAGATTCTGAAGCTTCGTCTGACATACTTTGGACATGTTGCAAGGCAGGATCAGTCCTTGGAGAGGGACGTCACGCTTGGGAGGGTAGAAGGACAGTGCAGGAGGGAAAGACCTCAATAAGATGGATTGGTTCAGTCGCTTGGGTAATGGGGGTAGTGGTGTCTGAGACAGTAAGATTGGCAAGGGATAGAGCAGGGGTTAGGGCTGTTGTGCATAGGGTCGCTATAAGTCTTGATGGCAGACGACATGATGGCACATAACAACAAGAGTCAGACAGGCTTATATCTTTGAACTGACCATCTGGCATAACAGCTGTAGCTTTGAAGGTAGGGGCAGGGTGCCCAACTTTGGCAGCTCCTGAAGACATCTTGTTATCAGCAGTTGCAGAGAAGAAAGCAGGGTGTTGAATCAGGAAGAGAACGCGGACACTACTGGTCTTTTTTGATTGTGGATCCAAAGTACATGAGCTGGAGATACTGAGAAATATCCTGCTTGTACCTCTTCTAAGACTATCTGTTCCTTCCTCCAAGAGTCCACAAGATATTCTATAATCTTCATCTCGCACCATGGTTCCAATGAATCACTTCTCCCCTGATCTTTTCTCATTACCCAGAATCCACATATACGTGAGCCAAGTGAGAAGACATAGATTGGGTCAAATGCATCTTATGCACCAAGGTATTGCTATGTTTGCTGTTTGTTCTAGGTGGTGGAGGAGCACCAAAGGCGTCTTTGCGTCTACTGGGATGCAACAGGATGGTCTAATGCTGGCTGCCATGCCACCTCTTCTAATGGAACGAGAACTGTGTGCAGCTGCAGCCACCTCTCCACATTTGCAGTCCTCATGGCCTCAGTTGTGCTAGAGGTAGGTTCATATATGCATGTGTTATCGTTATTGTTGTTTGTTGTCGTGTGCCTTTGAATCAGGACCAGTCCATTGCTGACCCTCCAGCAGGTTTTCAGACGCAGTAAAATCATGCCTTCTTCTTCCATGGAGCAGCTGGTGGATTTGAACCACATGACTTTTCATTTGCAGCACAGCTACTTACCTTTAGCCACCAGAACTCCATATTTGGTGATATTGGTCATGTTTTCTTGCTCTTTGAGTGAATGTTTATGAAGCAGATTGGTTTTCTAGTCAACCATTCATACACATTTTGTTTCTGTGGCGTTAAATACAAAGTCCACGGCATACCCATACTTTTCTCACTGCTTCTCTAAAAATGTCATTTCCAGTCATCCTTCTATTCTGCTCTTCCTTTT